GGAAGGGAGCATTGCCTATTTCAAGTGTTCATATGTTTTTATCCACATCATGCTGTCATGGTGGGGTGGGTGGGAGATGAGTCTGAGATGGTGCTGGCGATGCCAGGCGAGTGTGTACGGAGAGGAACAGCCTGAGGAAGGCGGATGAGGTCTTCTCTGGGTGTGCTGCTCTTGAGGAAAATGGAGTGGCTGGAGGCTCAGGGAGAGGCCTGGGCTGAATCCCTGAATTTGGGAGCCATTACCTGAAAGTAGGAACAGAAACAGCCGGACAGCGGGTGGGACCATCCAGGGAGATGCAGTGGGAGAAAAGAGCAATGGGCTGGGGATGGAGAGACACCTGCATTTCAGGTTCAAAAAGGCCAAGGAGAGGAGCCAGAGCTGGGCTAGTGAGGGGCACGAGGAGACACTGTCATGGAGCCAGAGAGGCGGCATTAGGAGTGTGGGTCACCAGCATCCAGGGAGATGAGGACCCCAAAATGGCTCCAGTGTTTCGAAAATAAGCAACCAGCAGTGATTTCAAGGTCAAGAGTTGTTGAGGGGGGAGGTGGGTTGAGATGGAGGGGGGACATAGGTGAAAGTGGAGGAGGGATGGCACCACGATGGGGGGTGGGGCATTCTCCTGACCTGTGGGGCTACATTCAGTCTTCTCATCAATGAACTAGGTGTTTTGGGCTATGATCACCTCCTAACCAGGTCTAAGATGTTAGAACCCAGGAGGACGTAGGTAGATTGCTGTAAATCTGAAGGAATGAAATCACAGCTGGGGGTCTGGAAGTGCCTCTGGAATAAGGATGTGGAAACAGAGGGAGGAGGAGGGGGATTGTGAAGCAGTTGCCCTCTCCTCCTGGGTGCTGAGGCTCAGCTCAGATGCTGGGAAGGGTCGCTGGATAGAGCATTGAAACTCTGGGCCAAATACCCCAGGGAGCTATGGCTGACTCATCCCAATGGACATCATGAAACAGGTTTGGGTTACTCTGCTTGAGCAGCTCGGTTAGTGAGGGCATGAGCTTAAGGACCTTCACGGCCCCGATCCATGTCTGTCCCAGGTGAGTCCCATGGAAAACCAGGAGCTGGGGCTGCCAGCTGTGCCTCTGGACACCAGGTGGGTGGGAGGGCCAACAGAGGGGGATTTCTCCTTACCCACCCTAATTGCCTCTCAGGAGAGGGAGACAGAGAGAGAGGTTGCCTGTGACTGACCCTTGGCAAGACTACATAATGAGGGAGAGCAGGGAAGCTAACTGTGCGTGTGTGCTTGTCTGGGTGGCAGGGCGGGTAAGGGGTGCTCAGCCTCTCCGAGGCCCCCTGGGTCCTGGTGGGATGGTCTGCGTGTAGAATGCAGGCAACTGGGTAGCGGGATGTTTAGATTTTCCTCCAGTTTCTTATTGTAACACACATTCCTGGGCCCATGCTCAGACACAGAATTCCCTGAGTGGAACTGTCTATGTTAATGAAGCTCTCCAGGTGGTTTACATGTTCATTAAAGTGAAGGAAAAAACCTGGCCCATGCTTGGTTTGGCTATGTCTTTTCCCAGCTGTCCTGTACCAAGGGCTTGAAAGACTAAAGGCGGGGGACTTCCCTGGATACTTTGGCAGGGCCCTTCTAGAAACAGAGCCTGGGTCTCAGGGACAGACTCAGGTGCAGGGAATTGGGGTGAAGAGGAAGGTAGGGGGGTGTGCCGGTAAGGGGAGCATGGGTCTGAATTACAAAGAAGCAGGTTTGCTGCTTGTTGCATTTCTCTGTAGGTCCTCCCTTCTGCTCTGGGAAGGGAGGGTATGAAGTGAGATATGGAAAAAGACCTGCTGTCTGATCTCAGCATGGCCACTTATCCAACTCTGTGATTCAGGCAATTCTCTTTTGCAAGATGGGTCTGTCTTCTCACCTGGGAAAAGAAAGCTGGTCTAAATCAGTGATGGGCCTCCTTGATGGAACACATCTGGGAGCTTGACAAAATAGCTGTGCGGGGGCCTAACTCAGGCCAAGAAGGTCAGAATCTCTGGACCTGGGACCTGGACCCGGGTCTTTAGTTCTCAGCCACTGAAAGATGGTCCATTTGAACTGGAATGTCTGATCTGCATCAGCTAGACAAAAGGATAAGGAACAAGAGCTTGGTTTCTTTCCACCACCACTCACTTCCTTGTCCCACTTACTTCAAGGAGAACCAACTGGCTAAAAACATTTGCATAACTATTGATACTGTAAGTGCTTTAGCAATGCTCAGTGATGGAGGGTGAAGGAATCAAGTTTTGAATCAGAGATGGACTGAGGTGATAGGAATGCCAACAATTTCAAGCAGGGCTAAATTTCAGAGGCCTGGGCAAGGCTGTGCGGTATGGTTGCTATAGGAAAGGGCGGGGCAGGGGAGACAAAAATCCTCACCTTAGCTGATGGCCCTGAAGCTCTTTATTTCCAAGTCAGAAGAAAACACAGAGTTTTCTATTAATAACAAATTGTTTATATATATATAAAGGTCAGAAATATTTGAGGGCTTAAAAAGTAGGTGAGTTTGTAACTAAAAGAAGAATCCCATGGATAGATAACTTTTCAGTTTAAGTCTCAGCTTTATAAAGAAAGTTTTCTAGGTTATAATGAAGTTTTATATGTTATCTCATATGTCATCTACTTTTCAACAACATAGTGGAGAAAACATTACTTTGCCCATTTCATAGATGTTGAAATTGAGGTGCTATCACTGGAACCTGAGCCAAGGTCATTCAACTCCAAGTTCCATGTTCTTCCCATTGCATTCTCCTGACCAGGAATGGGCAATGCCATTTTAATAAGCGCCACATCAGTAAGTGCCAGGCATGGCTCTCTCTGTCCTTTGGGGAGATAGCATATTATGAAACAAAGAGGTTGGAATATCTCTTAGGGGGTGCCTAGGGACATAGATCAGAGAAGAGGTACACAGTAGAAGCTCTATGTCAACCAATAGCGACAAGTTCTACACAACCCTGCCTAACACCATATATATATATATATATATATATATATATATATATGCTTTTAATGTAAAGACTTTAAAGAATCACCTCCACAGAAATTTTAAAAACATGTCAAATTTTATTAAGAATGTCTCCAGCACTGAGAAACAGAGCAGAACGAATGACTGCAGGCGTGAGGTCACAACCTAAACCCAACATTTACTTTATTATTTATTTATTTATTTATTTATTTATATTATTGACATTTACATTTAAACAACCAGTGAACAATACCTGTTCTTGTAGCACAGAATTCCATTTGAATAAGTCTGAATACACAAAATGGTCATGTTAAGAGCAGAATGCTGGTGAGAACCAGTCAAGGAAATTCGGCCCCATCAAGCTTCCTACCCAGACAAGGCCCAGGCCAAGGCTTGCTGCAGAAGGATACGGAGAAAGTGCATTTTTTTTTTAAATCTCAAAAATGATAAATAGAATATTTTTTAAATAGTATAAAGGGCACGTGTAAAGCAATTCATTAAAAAAACAAAAACAAACTAGGATGCCAGTTGAAAAATGGGCAGAAAGCATACACACATAATTCATATGCAAATAAGTTTTTAAAAAACCTAGAAAATGCTCTAATCTCATTAGTGATCAAATATATCTAAAATAGTACCCCGTTGAAATGAGGTACTATTTTTTGCCCATAAAATACGCAAAAAGATTTCTCATTTTAATGACTATACCAAACACTGATGAGAGGGCATTGGGCCAGGTGATGTAAATTAGTACAGATCTTTAGAAAAACAATTTGGCAGCAGGATATCAACAGCCTTAAAAAAAGTTGATATCCTTTGACCCAGTAACTCCATGCCTGGGAATCTACCCTAAGGAAATCATCTGCAGTTCTGGGGAAAACAAAGTCTTAAGAAAAAAAAAATGATAGAAACCATTTAATGGTCAACAAGAGGGAAATGGTGCAGTGGAGTATTTTGTATTCTCATCATATATTATCCAGGTATTAAAAACATTATTTGGATATTAAAAATACGTTCATGAAGATCTGGAGGTAAATTGAGGAAATTCTTATATTGTTAAGTTAAAAAAAGAAGTATATATGAATGATCTCCACTATCAAATGGTTAGAAAAGTGATGGGAAGACAAAACATCAAACTGCTAACACAAGTTATCTTGGAGTGATGGGCTCATGGGTGACTACTTTTCCTTCTTCCCCACTTTTTTACATTTTCCTATTTTTTTCCATTACCGAAAAAATATATGTGAATTAAGAAAATACACTTGGACTTTGGAGCTGAGAACAAACTTTGTCCAATGACCCTGAATTTATCTGCTTCTCCCTGAATTTATTCACATCTGCAGAGTCACCAAATATACTCAAGACCAGAGAAAAGCACCTCAAAGTCGAACGAGGTGAGTGCCAAGAGAGGCCAAGGAGAAAAATAACAGGAGATCAATAGGCAAAAGAATGAGAGAAACACTTGCTAGCAAAAAAACAAACACAAACAAAAACTCTCCTGGAACAGTTCCAATCAGTTCCATCCTCTTGGGCTCAGCAGGCAGTTGGAGGGAGCCTGCTGACCTCTGATAACAGGGCATATCTGGGATAGCGTCCTTCACACAGCATGTGGAACAGGCCAGCAGGCCCTCTAAAGCTCCAGCATTTAGAACCTAAGGACATAGTGGTGTGGCTACGTCCTTGACACATCCTTGACCTTTTCCCCACACTCTTCGTACATCCCTAATGGGCTGGGCCATGCTCAGCCTTGTTCACAAAATATGAGTTAAAAACAGCTCCACATATAAGTGAGATCATATGGTATTTGTCTTTCTCCGACGGACTTATTTCACTTAGCATGATAGTCTCTAGGTCTGACGTTGTATAATATTGTATGTCAACTATAATTGAATATATCTATAGTCACTGGACGTGGAGTATAGTGTGGGAGTGGAGTCAAGGGAATTGTAATAGATATGTATGATATTGGGGGGGACTGGGGCGGCGGATTGGGGGAGGGGGGTTGTCACTTTGAGGGGTAAAATGTATAACTATTGCACTGTGTTGTACAGCTGAAACTAATTTTTAAAAATGTTTATTTCAAAAAAAAAATAAATAAAAAATAATAAAAACAGCTCCAGTCTCACAACCCTTTTGCAGCTAGATCTCTAGAAATCTAAATCGTCTTGGCCAAAGCCATCTGCCCTGTCCATGGTGAGGTTTTTGAACCTCATTTCTGTCCAAGTGAGGCTTTTAGCTGCCATTTTGGCTTCTAAGTCAGAGCCTTGGCCTGCCCCCATCTCTGGAGTCAGACCTGCGTCTGTCCCTTGCTCTGGAGTCCTTGAGCCCAAAGGGGCCCCTTCTTGCTCAGAAGTGGAGCTTTCTGGATACATGCCTGTGGCTTTTCTCTCTGGACCAGGGACTCCCTTGGGCTCATCTCCAGTGGTCCTCATATCTCCATTTGACGGCTCCTCTTCAGAACCTTTCTGGGAGAGCTGAGAGCAGTTTCCCAGAGAAGATGTGCTACATACAGAAAGGACCGTTTGGGGGCCTGACCTTTGTGGGGGAGCATCTCCACCTGGGGCAGGGGGTGGTGTGGGCCTCCCCTCTTGGTCTGGGTTGCTGTGTCCAGAAGCCTCAGCTGTCTGGCCCTGTCTGGAGCCAACCTGTGGGCTCCCTTTCTCACCTTGACTTCCTCCTCCGGACTCTGGCTGTCCCTCTCCTTCAGTTTCCTGGGCCTCTAAGGTGTCAGCACTATCATTCTGTCCTCGGTCACTTCCTCCCAAGGCTTCACCCTCCACACTGTCCTCAGCCCGAGGGCCTTCCTCCAGGTTCTCTTCCTTGTCACCCACACCGTGCTTCTCCCACTGCACTGCCTCCGGGGGGCCGTCTACACAGGGATCTTCGTTCCCTTCTATCTTCTGAGTAGCCACACCCTTCTCTCCCCTTCCAGGATCTTCACCTCTGCCAACGGTCTGGCTGCCCTCACCCTCATCCCCCTCCTCCACCCCAGGGCCCAGGCCTAACTCCAGCTGCAGGCCGCCATCACCTCCCTGGACAGCCCCTGTCCCCAAGGGGTCCCTCTGAAGCGGCACCATTCCTGTATTCTCAGGGGCCGCCTCTGCTGTCTCCCCATTAGTACATCCTCCGTTCTTCTTCTGCAGAATTTGTTGCAGGTCAAAGGCCTCTTTGATGGGTGCACTGGCTATGCCCATTGTGTCCTTCGAAGACACAGGGGTCACTTTCTTCCTCACGCAGGTATCACAGGGACAGAACTCCTCCCCTTCAGCCTTCCCACCTGGCCGGGTCTCCAGGACTCCACTGAGAGTAGGCACGTCTTCCAGGGAGAAGGAGTGGGGGCTCTGGACCCGGATCTGGTCCGAGAAGGCTGAGAGGTTGTGCAGGCCCTGGAGGTGACGCCTATGCTTCTTGGTCTGCAGGGACATCTCCCATCTGAGGGCTGTTCTAGGGGACCCCGGCGCCTCCCCCGCTGCCCGGCTCTGGATCTTCTGGAGCTCTTTCTCTGTGCTGTCTCGAAGTCGCCGGCCCACATCCTGCTGCAGCTCAGCCACCATCTGGTCCAGCAGGTCGTTGCTCTGCAGGCTCCAGCGGGCTTGGAGCTCAGCCGTGGCACTGCCCAGGTGGACCATGAAAGTCTTCTCCATCTTCCTCAGTAACTGGGACACCCAGAGCGGGTCAGGGTCCAGAGATGCTCTGTGGGCCACAGCAGTGCCCTTCTTCCCAGCCCCCAGGGTGAACTGGGCTGGGGTTTGTTCATGGTTTATTTCAGCTTCCATGGGCAGCTTCTCCAAATTGGGCTCAGCGAAGGACCCACTGGCATTTGAGTCCTTCCCCCTGAGGCTCCCAAGGGTGTCTGTCCATTTCTCTCTCCTCCCTGGAGGGTGCAGCATGGTGGAGGCAGGATCCCTTTCTGTCTCCTCTCCCTGCACACGCTCATCTTCCCTATTTTGAGAGCCAGTCCCTGACCGTTCTTGCCCTATGTCTCTTCCCTCTCCTGGAAATCCACTGAACTGTCCTTGAAGTTCTGCTCTTTCTTTTTCTTCTTTTATTTTCTCTGTTTGCACCCCCTCTTCTTGCATCGTGTTTGCAACTACTCGGTCCAGGTTACTGCCCAACAGCTGCTCCCTGCCGCTTCCTTCTGCCCCATCCTTCCCGGTGGCGCCAGCCCATGCTTGGGAACCCGAGGAGGCCATGGAACCACTAGGCTGTTGGTTTCCCAGACCCACTGGCTTCTCTGAGGTTCTGGAATCAGGCCTCTGGTAGGGGATTTCCAAGGGCAGCTCCATCCTCTCAGGGACTAGGGTGCTGTCCACAGCACAGGGCCCGCTGCCCTCCCCCGAGCCTCCAGAGCCACTGCCGACATCCACGCCAGATGAGGACGTTGGTGTGAAGTCCTCAGCCACCGCGTGAGACCTGAGGCCCAGCAGAGCCTGGCAGCCATCAAGTTCCCGGAGGTCCGAGACCAGCTCACCTCGCCTGAGGCCACACCCTGGCCACAGGGCCTGGAAGGTGCTCCGGAGCTCCTGGTACCGAGGAGTGTCTGTAAACCTCACTTTGTTGGGGGGAGACCCAAGGTCTTCATCGAAAAAGTGGTGCCTGGCGAGACAGGTGATGAGGGCCTGGGCGGCGTGGCTGAGCCTCCTGGCCGCGGGGCCGGACACTTCGGGCAGGCTGCTGGGCCGGCCCTGCTTACAGCCCGTCAGCACCTTCATGATCTGTATGGAGGCAGAGACCCGGCAGGGGAGCACACACTGTCCCACGCCACAGCCCTCAGCCGTCCCTTGGCTTGCTCCAGCCTCCTTGGGGGTTTCTGAAACTCCACTGTGAGAAAGACCCTCTCCTGGCTGGGGGCCAGCGTCACCCGTCACAGGGAAGGTTCCATCTGATTCTGCTTTCTCACTGGTGGCCCCTTCCATGGACGGTTGTCTGGGCTGGATTCGCTCCTCCACGCCTTCCAAGGCATGTTTCTCAACAGGGGCCTCCATGGGACCTTCCTGGCCGTCCTCAGGTCCATCCACGCTGTCGTTCACCATCTCATGTTTCATGGGCACGGGCTCCTCCGGGATGTTGCTCAGCCATTCACAGATCACAGCCTCTGGCGAGGCTTGGGGCAGAGCGCTTGGAGTCATGCTTCCATCGTCTTGTTCCTCCTCCGGACCTTCCCCTGCACCAGTGACCTGTCCCTGAAACATTCTTCCAGGCCTGGGACCTTGGCTAGGGCTGCTCCTTCTTGGGGCTCTGGTTACCATCCCCCTGGCCTCTGACTGAGAGCCGGGGGGCTGTGGTCGCTGTGAGTCCAGCTTTTCCTCCCCTGGCTCGATCCCCTGTGGTCCCCTGTCAGCACTATGGCTGCTGTGGCACGATGGGTGTTTCTTGGCAGAGGACTGTGCCCTGGGGGGAGTGGGACAGTACCTGCTGCACACCGAGCAGGCCTCAGAGAAGGGTCCCTGGCTTCCCTGAGGCTGGGAGACCTGCAGGGCCTGAGTCTTACCACCCAGGGTCCTGTGAACCGGGGATGTGCCCATCTGTGAGCAGTAGCCCCCTTGGTGGGCTCCTGGCTTTCCCCCCTCATGCTGTCCAACTGGCAGAACCAAGGGCCAGGGAGATTTGGGGATGTCACCCCTCGCATTTTTGCCTGGACCATCAGCTTGGGACCTGAAAGAGCTGGAAGGTGTGGGAGCTGGTGAGTGTCCCCTGAACTCAGGGTCCCCTTCCGTATCAGCAGAGGGAGAATATGGGGGGTAGAAACTGGAAGCGTAGTCTGAATTGCTCACAGGTGTAGTGGGGGCTCTGCTGACCCCTTGTGCACCCTGGGAATGAAAAGAGGCAGAAGAAGGTGGCTCTGGGTCCCAGGAGGCCTGGTTCCTGATGTTAGGTGAGCTTCCAGAAAGGCGTGGTACTGGGCAAGCCCTGGGTATACTGGGAGGCCCTGGTATTTGCCTGGATGCAGGTGAGTGGAGCAGACAGTGCGTGTCCCTTCGGTTGTGGTGCTGCCTGGGGCAGCCTCTCCAGGACCCTCGGCTGTGGCCAGAAATGCTGGGTGGGGACACAGCTCTGGCTCTGCTCTCCTGCATTCTCCTCCCACCTGTGGCTGAGGTGCAGGCCAAAGGTGGGGAACAGCCTCCTGCAGGGTCCCCAGAGCCAAAACGGCCCGCTGCCAGGGGCAACCTGGTCCCAGACCCACCCCTAGCCTGGGGGTGTCCGGTGTCCTTTCCACTTTCCTTTGCCGGTGGGTCCTTGTTCCTCAAGGATGAGGGACTCATGGCGGGGTACCCGGGGCCTTCCCTCCGGGCGGCCTTCCATGAGGAAGTCACAGCCCTCGCCTTGCTTGCATGGCCCTGGTGCCACTTACCACTTTCACCGGACTCCTCACGACACCTGGCACTTGAGGAAGAGTCAGAATGCGTCCCTGCCACGCCTGGGGTCCTGGGTTTCAGGCAGCAGTGCTTCCCGCTGCCCTGCCCCGCTGCCTCTGGACTGAGGCCCTCACCAGCCCGGGGCGTGCCTCCAGCTTCCCGCCCTGCTCTTCTCTGGGAGGTGGCCCCGGAGGCCAGAGATAGGTCACGGCTGCCCACACTGCCCTCCCGGGACCTGGAGCAGCGGGAGGAGTTTGGCTCAGAGCCTTCGTGGGGTCTGTCACTGGAGGCAGGGCTGACGCTCTCCTTGCTGTTTCTTTTCCTGCTTGCAACCCTTTGGCTCCAGGCGCCCCTGGCGTGGGAGGGCTGGGTCAGCTCAGACCTCCCATGAGAAGCCGTTGCCTCTTTCTGGGCTGCGTATAGGGGGTTCGTCCAGATCTCATATCTGGACCCTGGCTGCCACTGGCCTCGTTCAAAGGCTTCCTTGCATCCTGTTTCACATGGCTTCTGTCCCTGTGCCCCAGGCTCTGAGGGGCCCCCAGGGTGGCCCTCCCACACACAGTGGAGGGGGTCCGCCTCCGCCAGAATAGGGCCGTCCCCACTGGCTGCCATGAGGGCGCTAGCCCTCCCGACCCTCCTGGACCACAGGAGCGTGTCATCGCCCAGTAGGTGGAAGCGGATTTTCATCTCCACAGACAGACTGCCGTCCTCGTTCATGCGGACCTTCTTTTCAACGTCATCACCGGCCACCAGTGGGCCAAGCTGGGCAGGTGTGTCCTGAGGGGGGCTGTCAGGAGCAGGGCCCATCCAGGCACGATGCAGGGACACCAAGGGGTCGCTGAGACCAGACCTCTCTGACAGTAAGGAAAACCGCCGCGGCCTGCTGCCCGACCTGGGCCTCGAGTGGATCACGCTCGGCTGGGCCTTTGGCCCCCAGCTCCCTGGCACGCAATGAGGAGTAAGAGGAGAGAGGAAGAGATAGTGAGTTACTGGAGGGAGCTTCAGGGCAGGAAAATAAAGGCTGCTCACGAGCCTTTCACCACCTAAACAGCCCTGCGGCCTCCAAAACCACACAGTAAGGGGAGAGACCATTCTAGGATGAATAGCCACACTGCCTTTTGTGAAAGCAGTAGAGCAAAGCCAGATGAACTTGAAGTCTGAATTCAGTCTCAACCCTGCCACTTCCTAGCTGTGTGGTTTTTGGCAGAGCCTCTTTTCTGAGCTGTAAAATGAGAATAATCATATCTATTTGGTAGTGTGTTTTGACGATGCAAGGCAATAATGTAAAACTCCCAGCCGAGTTGCTAGCACAAAGGAAGTTCTCGATAGACAGCAGAGGGGCAGGTAGAACAGCAGTGCCCGGAGCTAACTCCTGGTCCCGCTCATGCCCACCCCCAGCACAGGAAGCAAAATCAATAAGCTACTGCATACGCACCTGATTGTAAACTGTAAAATGCTTTGCAATTATTAGTGGTGATTTATCATCCTAACATTCATCAAGCTTTAAGGTTGATAAATGATTGCAAGGAAGGACCTAGACACACAATAGCAGGTCCCGACAGTTAAGCCTGCACCCCAGTCATGTAAAAGAGAAGAAGGGGCCATTGGAGATAAAAAGAAATGACTTCAAGAAAGAATAAAGCCCTTAGCTCTTTCTCATTTCACCTCCTGAGCTAACACTTGACAAGAAGAAGGGGCTGGTGGAGTCTGAACCTATGGCCAGCAAAAGAACAGACCCCTTGACTTCACCTGGGCAAGAGAAGGTTTTGCCATGCTCTGCTCTTTCATAAGCACCAAATGAGACTTGGGGCTCCTCCAGGGGTTGGGGGAGGCTATGCTATGGCTAATGGGTCTTTGTACCTCCAGTACCAGGCATGCAGCAAACACCGAAACCATTATTGTCATTTCTTAACAACTTTTCACAAAAGATATAATTTTGTTTACTTGCCAAAACTTGACCATTATCATTCCAATAATTTTTCTGAAACATTTATTCTACAGCTTTTAATGGTGCTTAAAATAATGTTCTTTAAATAACAAAGCCTAGACTCTGGCACATAGCAGACTTTTTGGATGGATATATGGTTGGATGTATAGAATGATGGATGGAATGGATGCTAGATGGTTATTATTAGTTCTAGTCCATTTGGCCCCCAGCATTGCCTGAGAGTCATGACTCTTGAAAGATGCAAATGCCACATTCCGATGGTCCGTTGCCTCCATAATCTCATGTCCACCATGGTGCTTAATAAAGCTTATTTTAGATCCTGAGAACTTAGAGTTCAAGATCTCCTCATCCCTTTTCTCTTTAACTATCAGACTCCTCTCTCTCACACCCAAGTCAAATGTTCAATCCAGTTAATGTTGGTGGTGATAAGAAGGAGGAAGAGGCAAGAGAGACCCAAAACAAGTGGGGTGCCCAAGAATTGGGGCCAAAGGCAGGTTTCTTAAAATATCTAGAAAGGATCTCTGCCCAGCCCTCCTGAATCACTATCCAGTGCAAATAACCTTGGGGAGACTCCAAAACCAACGCACCATTTTTGTTCCTTGAAGTCTGCCCCAATGATGTTGCAGTCCCATTTTTTCTGGCACTTTCCATTGTCGCAGGTCTGAAGGACTCGTGACCAGCACACACCAGCACCGAGGGACTGCGCAGTAAAGCCTTCAGAGAGTCCACCTGAAGAATGAAAATGTTGGGTCAGGAGACCTGGTTTGCAGGACCCCCCTTCTGCTTGGGGAGACACTGTTAGATGAAGAATCCACTCACTTTGGCCCTTCCCTGATGTTTGCACATCTCGCCTCAGATTTCTGCTCCAAGGGAAGCATCCCATCCACTTGCCGAAATACCTCCATAACCAGCTGGGGGCTGAGGTCCTACAACCATGCCCTTCCTCTCTACCTACACCCTCGCTCCGCCTGGTGTGAGGCCTGTGGTTTAGAGGTTATTCTGAATGCCTCAGGTGGAAAAGACTTCATGAGGCCTTTGGCCTGCTTCCCTGCCCACCCTTTCACCCTCCAGAATAGGCATTTTTTAAAGGAACCAAAGCAGAAAGCCTTCCAGCTTCCATGTGGAGGACTGATTCGCTAACTCACCCAGGCAGGCTCCTCTCTGGGGTTTGATCTGTGTTTACCAGTTTAACCAGAGCCCATCGCCTCTGCTTCTGTCCCTAGTGGAGCAGAGAACAGCAAGGCACTGTTTTTTCCATAGGTAGCCCTTCCCTTCCAGGCTGTTCTGAAGGTTCTCTAGGCTCCTGCCCAGGGGCTGGTGTCATCCTCTCCCCATGTACCCACACACCCGCCAGCAGGATGTCCTGAGCTGCAAGCTGAACAGGCAACATCAGTGCTGGATTGCATTCCTGGAAACCGCCCTGTTTTTTCAAAAACTGTCACCTGGCTCCAAGGCCCCTGCATATCTGAGGGGTTTTACTACTTATAACATTACATTATAATTAGCAGTGTGTGTGTGGGGGGGATTTCGTTCCATCTTTTAAGGGCTTTATCTGTTCTTTTTCATTTTCTCAAGTTAGAACAGTATGTTCATTAATAGTGAAATGAAAAAAAGGGAGAACTCTACGTCTTTTCCTTCTAAAATGACATTAAGTTTGCTGTACAGCAGATCTTTCAACCTAGTTAATTAGGAGCTTGTTTCAAAATACCAGGTACATTCCTGTTTTGATTTAAGTCTCTAGTCCATTGCAAAAATACAAACATGACCCAAGTCTCTTGATTTATAGATGTAGCCATGCTTCTAGGAAATCAGACGTTTCCAAGGAAGAAAATAGAATTGAGGGCTAAATGACACTCCCATTTTAGAAAGAGGTAGAGGTCTAGGATCCGTGAAAAAAAAAAAGAGCATTATTGAGTGTCCATCCAGTCAAGGACCTGCAAATTGATAATCATGACACAGCCTGTCCTGGGGAGCAATGAAGTCACTTTGTTTACAGAAACTTGAATAACTCTGCAGTAAGCCTTGGTGAAAATATGCTATTTTTTCCAATTAATTTATTTTGTACCTGCTCTCTGCCTCTCACCACATCCACTAAACTATAGCCAAACTGAAGGTAGGGACTTAGTCTTATTTGTCTGTAAAATCTGCATGTAGCTCATGTCAGTACATAGCAAATGCATCATAACGTAGAAGCATTCTTACATCAGGACTCTGGAATCATTAAGGCCGGCCCTACCATTGGCCAGCCATATACAACCCTGTGCCTCCATTTGCTTATCTCTACAAATGGTATAGCAATATTAACTGCCTCATGAGCTTGTGTGGTGGATGCTATGCCCTAGATTAGTCTCTATTGTACTCTCTTTCTGGTGTGCTGTCTAGTACTACAGAGCTTAGAAAATTCTAAACACGTTTTTCAGGAGGCGATGGCAGCTGAAGCCGCAGTGGCTGGACCTAGCGCCCCAGTGTACCTGCATGTCAAGATGCAGATGTGACCGTTTCCTGATCCCAGTTTTATCTGCTTGGAGGTCACCACAGAGAATTCCTCTGGAACTCAGTTGCTTCAAGCGGAGGTACTAGCTTCCTGCAGAATGCTGGGAGCCATTCCTGTAGACCCAGCTTAGAGTTCATCCCTCCAGCTGTCCAAAGATTTGGAAGTTCCTGAATGCCCTGTGTTGAAACTGCTTTCTGCTTAAGGTACTTCAAGCCTTTTCTGTTTCTTGCACTGAACTCTCACTGCCATAGGTGAGATTGGATAATAGGAGGAGTGGATAAGAAAGTAATGAAAGTGTGCAAAGCATAGTATCTGACACAAAGAGCTCAATAAATGCTAGCTCAAAATATGAATACCAATTGCTTGTTGGAGGAGCTAACTGAATGTCTCCACTCTATCTACCTTTAATTAGTAGCAGGGCAATCAGTGCCTCTTTTTAAGGATAAACTCCCTATTCCATCTAAGTATTTTGATCTGAGGTCCAAAGAGCTTTTTTTAAAAATTTTATTTTTATTGGTGAACAGTGTGTTTTTCCAGGACCCATCAGCTCCAAGTTGAGTAATTGTTTCCATCTATTTGTGGAGGGCGCAGCTCAGTGGCCCATGTGGGGATGGAACTGGCAACCTTGGTGTTATGAGCACTGCACTCTATCCAACTGAGCTAACCAGCTGACCCCCAGAGAACTTTTTAAAGGAAGTGTCATACTCCGACAGCCTACCTTTTTCCCACTGGCTGTGTACACCTGCTTCACAGGAAAGAGCAGAAGGTCTGAGGCTTTGCTGAGAAAGGCTGTCAGGCTCTTTGTGTTTTTATGACTGAGAACCACTGTCTGCTGGAATCGAGGGTCCCCATTCTTAACGAGCATTATCCTCCTTGGGGCCTTAGGACCCCTCTGGGAGGAGGACGTTCCTGGTGCCTCACATTGGCCTTCAACATCCCGAGGCTGCTGAGCAGCAGGGCTTCTCCCCTGTGGCTGGCGCGGCCCATCGGAGGTCTTGGGAGGCTTCTTATCAGAGCAGAGGTAGCAACCACCATCTTCCAGCTGCTCCAGGGCACTGAGGCCATGCAGACCCCGGGGTGTGGTGACAGAACGCACCCCGAAGGAGAGAGGCACGCGCTGGGAGAGCTCATCCATTAGCGTGCTGAAGCTCTTGAAGGTGCGCTGGTGGACAGCCAGGCGCACCCCGGAAAACCGGGGATCCCCTCGCTTAAGGAAAGTTATCTTCTTGGCTGGCGTGACCTGAGTGACAGAAGGGGTCCGGGCCATGGAAGGCAGAAGGCACTCGCGGTAGCTTGGGGCCTGGATATCCCTCAGGGTATTGTTCATGGCGTGGAGGCCCAGGCAGCTGAAACGGGTCAAAGGAAAAGAGTCAGAGAGCGGCAGAGATTTTACATTTCCTCTCTCCTCTTATTATAGAGGTGCCCCCTGCCCACCCCACATCTGGTCCACTCAGCTCTGTAGAGGCAGGTGGATCCGTTTTGATGGAATAGAAGGAAGGCCAAAGGTTTGTCATTGGAGCGATCTGAGTTCAAATCCCACCCCACTCCCCACTTACTCCCTGTGTGACCCCAGAGGTGAATGACGAACTCTGTGTTTGGTGGACCCCACCTGTAAAACGCAGCCGTGTTCACTCTGCAGAGCCGTTATCGTGAGTAAATGCATTTACGCGTACAGAGCACCTGGCACAGAGCACCAGTACCTCTTGATTCCTTTCCTTCCTCTTAAGGCTCTTCTACCATGCTAACCTCCTTTGAACACCTTGGGGTTTATCTCCTAAAGAAGCAGGTAAATAAAATGAAGACTGCGTAGCACAGAAGCAGTCAGGAGGCCTGGGCACCTTGCCCACTATCTTAGTGCAAAGTCTCATGTGTGGCCGTGAGGATGCCCAGGTCTCAGGACTCTTATCCTGCTGCCAGGCAAGAGGATTGGAGCAGATCCCTCAGTCCCAAACCCCTCAGGGACCACTGGCAACCCGAAGAGGATGCCACGTGTTTTCTCCATTATATGGTGATGTTTGCTTTCGTATCTCCTGACATCCCTCCAAAGTCTTTGGAAGATGTGTCATGAACTGTACGGGTGAGTACCACAGCCCGCTGACATGGGGCCCGGGGGCTCAGGCCAACCGTGGTTGGGTCAAGGCCATTCGTCCAACTGTTTGTTCCTATTCTCACCACAGTGGAGTCCGCTGCCTGACCCGGGACTCTTGCCGCAGACTCTCCCTGTCCAGGTTACCACGTGATGCTCTGTGCTGTGCACCTGCCGGCCAAATTGTCCTGAAACCCAGTTTTCACCCGGACACTTCCTGTGCTCCAAGGCCTTCAAGGGGTGCGCAGTATCTGCAGAAAAAGCCCAGGCCCTTTATCCCACGATTCGAGGCCTCTGCCCTTACTTTTGTCCTCCCTCTAAGCCTCAGTTCCTGTTCTTTCCTGCAGGAATTCTCCACTTCAATCAGACTGCCTGACTCAGGGCTCCCCCTGCATGGTGACCCCCATCCTTCTGGACTCCGCCTTGGCTTCTCTCCTTTATGGAGCCTTCCCCAGCCCCCTAATCTGAGGCAACCCCCATTTTCTTTTCTTTTCTTTTTTTTTTAAAGATTTTTTTAAATTGGGGAATTGGGGGGATGGGAACAGCACTGGGGAATTGGGGGAAGGGGGACAGACAAGTTGCTGTTGTTTTGTTCTTCAGTCTAGTTGTGGAGGACGCTGCTTCACTGGCCCAAGTTGGCACCATCATTGCGCTCTTCTCTGGCGAGGCAGATCAGTCGCCGGCTTCTGGACAGCCGCTCACTGCGGCTGCTGGCCGCTCACGCTGGCTGCTGGAAACTCACTGTAGCCCATGGCAATCCACTGTCACAGCGGCTGCAGCCTCCGCCTTCGCCGGCGACTCACAGCAGCCCAGCTCCAGGTTGAGCTGTTGTTCAGCATCTTAGCTGTGGAGGGCAGTGTCACTGGCCCTCATATGTGGGATCCGAACCGGGGCCCTCTGGCGTCCCAAGCCAGTTCTTAACCATCGCACCACTCGGCCTGCCCACAACCCCCATTTTCAACATGACTCCCCCGATATTTCCCACATCCCAGGTCTGTATCTTTCTTCGCCAACTACCCCAAGTCCTGGGCTGCAGAACCTCGGGGTGCCCAGCCCCATGCTCGGCACACAGCAGGGACCCAGGAAATCCGTCCTGATCCCGGAGCCCCATAATAGAGCCCAGGCCTGTCAATAAACTGACACTTGAGCAATTATGACCAGGTGAGGAGTTGTCCCCACTTCCCCCATGGTCCAGACCGTTACAGGGCTCCTGTAAGTGTGCACACTGCGGGGAACCATGGCCTTCCCTGCTGCAGCCGTCATCCCTACAAACGGTCCCTCCAGTGCCTGCACCTCCTTTCCTTACCTTTGCTCTCTACCTCATTCATCTTCGGGAAAAGGACTCTTTTCTCATTTTCAAAACCCTGGTGCACAGAGGCCTTATAATCCTCTCATCTCAGGCACACACTTTATAATTAGCTTCTTCATTCTCCTCCCTCCCAACTAATCCCATTAAGCTGCTTTCTCAGACCTCCCACGAGCAGCCCTGCAGCTGCCTGCAGGTTACTCTGTGCCTTCCTCTAGGGCTGACTTTGCTTCCCATTTGATTTTCATTTTCATATGTGATAATGAACGTTCTCTTTGGCCCTCACTGAGGGATTGAGAGGTAAAAGAAGGGTCACTGTGTCCCCAATGTGGCTATGTCCCCCAGCATCACAATATCCCCAAGGTTACCATGCCCTCCAATGTCACTGTGTCCCCCAATATCACCATGTCCCCCAGAATTACTCTGTCCCCATTATCACCATATCCTGCAGCACATCATTATGTCCCCAATGTCACCATGTTCCCTAATGTTACTGTGTCTCCCAATGTCACTATGTCACCTGGTGTTACTATGTCGCCTAGCATCACTGTGTCCCTTAGTGTCACATATCCCCAATGTCACTGTGTCCCCCAATGTCATCATGCCCTCCATGTCACCATATCTCATAATCACCATGTCCTCCAGCATCACCATGCCCTAAAATGTTACTGTGTCTTCCAGCGTCACCGTGTCCCCCAGTGTCACTATATCTCCAATGTCACTGTGTCCTCTAGTGTTCCTGTGTCCCCCAATGTCACCATGTCCCCATAGTCACCATGTCCCCCAGCATCACCACCAATGTTACCATGTCCCCCAGTGTCGTGTCCCCCAGTATCACCATGTCTCGCAGCATTGCCATGTCCCCGAGGATCCTCACTGCCTTGAAGGGCTTCTGTTCCTTGCAGCCCATTTCAGGGCAGAAAGAGCCTCCCTGGAGCCCTCGCGGACAGAAGCTTTGTAGAGCAAGGGAGAGCGTTCAAGGGAAAAGCAGGCACCTGGCCCAGAGCCAAGTAAAGACCACTCTGTGACTCTTTCAGGACCCAGGCAAAAGCATAACATCACAACATACACTCAAGTGACTGACTGCCCCTTTCTCCTGGCATTCTTCTAGAAAATAACATCTTTCTGAACTGGAATTCTCAGTCTCTGGCTGGATTTTTGAAATAAAAAGAGAATGTGATCCAAGAGATCCTAAGTACATACGCGCACACACACAGACAAGTTAAAAAATTTTAGGACCCAACAGAATGAGCCAGGGTAGCCTGGACCCATGAACAGTGGAAGGTGAGGGCCTGTAAGACTACAGACATCACCTCGATCCTTGCAGGAAGATGAGGCGGCTGCTTGCTCTTCAGTCTCATCAACAGACATAAACAGGTTCAACGTCATCCCCATGGCAAGTCACTGAGAACTATGGCCTCCTCTTGCAGCTTCGGGAAGGGAGAAGCAAATCAATTTTTTTTTTTAAAGAGGCTTTAATGAACTTTTGATTCTTTCACCTTCAAAACACCCTTGTCCAACCAGGTTGTTCATTCACTCAATCACGCATTCATTCACTCATTTGTGTACCCAACAAAGATTTCTGAGCAGCTATTGTGTACCAGGCTCTATGCTGGGTCCTGGAAATACAAAGATTACTGAGATATAGCACCCATCTTTAAAAACGTCACGTTCTAGTGTGGCAAGTAGGTACATTACTAAATCTAGTACAAGAAATGTTCTGAGATATATCTAGATGATAGATAGATAGATAAATAGAGATAGAGATAGATGGAGACAGAGATAGAGATAGTATAGATTACACAGAGGACATGACTGAAAGAAGGTTAAGAAAAATGGCAAGTAAGGGAAGGCTTCCTGGAGGAGGTGACACGGAGCCTCCTGAGCAGAGGCCTAAAGGACAATTTAGGGATTAGCCAGAGAAGAAAGAAGTGAGGACTGGCATGGCAACCAGGTATGGCCTTGGTGCCAAATGTGATAGGCTGCGGTGGGTTGGGAGGATGGGAGGGAAAAGTGCCCAGGCTTCCTGCATGCTGTGATCAGCTAGAAATGCTGTCGTAACGTCAGGGCAGAGAAGGGTCGCACAGGTGCCAAACATTCGCCATCCTTGCTCTGGGCAGGGTGTTCAGGGTCAGGGAGTATGTGCAAACGTGCGGTGAAGGCAGAAAGCTTGGGCATTTGGGAAGGGCCTTAGATGGATGCCATCCTGATATTTCAGAAGTCCCCTCTGGCAATGGTAAGAAGGTTGGAGCCTGAGAGAGTGGGAAATTTGTTGGTAAATGAGGACAACTGCAGTGGAACAAAGACCAAGGGACAGATTCAGCAGAGGCTGAGAAGAAGGGGCCAGCAGGAGTGGGTGACCAACCGATGGGGGGCTTACTGTCTGGGAGGATATTATATAGCATGGTTCTCAGGTTTCAAGCTTCAGACCTGGGTGCAAGGTGGCATTCACTACTCACCAAATGGGATAGCCGAGTGAGGAACAGTTTTGGAGGCAGGGGTGAAGGAGCTGTGAAAAGGGCTACCCTCTCTGCAGGAGCAGGCGCACTACACATGAGTGCATCTGACACCACTTTATTAAGGGGGCTGATAAATGCCCCTGGAAGGACGAACAGCACAGGCCCAATAAGATCAGCTCTGGCCCCCGGTACCTCAACAGCAGCACCACAAGCCCTTCTCCACTGAAGTCTGCAAGGCTAACACCTGGCAAGCAAACTCAGGTGTTCCTAGTTAGATCCAAGAACAAGTAAACAAAGAAGAAGAGGCCAGTAACAGAAAGAGGCAAAACAGAGGAGAAGTAAGAAGCAGGTGTCATTGCAGGCCAACCATCCCAATGGACTCGGGACTGCCCCAGTTTTCGCACTGAAAGTCCTAATGCAGGGACCCAACCCTCCCCAGCACGGCCTGTTCCCAGCTCACTGGGACAGTTGGCCACCTTGTCCATCTGCCTTCACTGTGGGGTCTGGGCAGTTTCTGAGGACCAGGTGGCCTCTTTCTGTCACTGGCCCTACTGGCAGTGAGGCCAAGATGAGCTGGCATTGCCAGGGGTTGCCCCATAGAGCTAGAAAAAGACACCACCATGAAGGGTGAGGAAGGGAGTCCTGATGACCTAGTTGAGCCCCTGGATGCAGTAAGGCCTAAACCAGAACCCAAACTGGAAAGCTGGGCTCTTTAATTACAGAAGCCAGCAATCTCTCTAGCTTAATAGATTTAAGTGGGGATTTCTGTCACTTGAAATAGAAAGGGGCAAGAATCTGCCAGGGAGCAGCACCACTGAGTGTCCTGCCTTTCCCAGATTCCAAAGCTGGGGCAGAAGGAGGAAGGGGGTGTGGCTCTGAGGCCTCTGCCAGGTCCTCACATAGGGGACAACTGTTGCATTCCTACATGCCAGTGATGATAGGAGGGGGAGAGAATATAACACGAGTTCTCAGATGTGCAATAAAGATGGACGGTCAGCTGATACGTAAAGTTGCATATATCTGTTTTTCCCTCATTGCTTTCCTCCTTTGACAATCATGAGGTTCCTCTCCCTAAACATGAGTGGAAGAGGACCTGACCTCTTCAATGAGACCAGCTAGGTAGGATATCAGGCCTGGCCCACACAAAGGGCGCTCTGAGTCTACTTAGCTCCGCCTTGCGGTATCATGAACAAGACATGCCACATGATTGCGAATCCCCCTCACAGTAGAGGGAAGACGGCCTTCCCTCATAAACACTCGGGCAGGGGGGTGGGCGGCGGTTGATGAGGACAGCAAGAGAAGGTTATGAAGGGACGGGGGGGCCTCACCCTTCTGGGTGCAAAGGATTGTTGAGGAGAAAAGGCAAAGAAGGGTGAAGAGCTGGAGGGAAGCAAGTTGGGTCTGGTTCCCAGCTTTGCATTCTCTAATCCCGGCTTGGAGCCTAGTGGGGGATTACTGGTTTTGGGGGAAATCTGGATAAGGCGAGAGACACTCCCAAAGCAGAGGGCTTTTGTCCAGCGAAGGCCCATGACTAAGTTTGAAGGAGACCTCCTTTTGGACTCCCCTCACCCCACTCCCACTCAGGACAGAGCCTCATCAAGGTATGTTGGGCAGAGCAGATTGGAGAAGGCTCTGATGTTCCGCTTTCCTCAGTCACCTGGGTGCCGTGGGATGTGGACAGGACCACACAGGAGCTCAGGGGCCGGCTGTCAAGCTGTAGTAGGTGGTCTTGGTGAGCATAGAGATTGGGGGGGGCAAATCATTAGTGCTAAATGGATCCCAGCTAACCCCAGAACCCATAGCACCAACCAGTCAGGGGAATTATGGGATTGGTTTAGGGCAGACAGCAAAGGATGGGGGATGGGTGCCAGGGGATTTCAAGAGGAAGTAGGGTAAGAAAACAGAGGAGGCATTCCAGCTGTGTGTGGGTGGGGGAGAGAAGCAGAGAAAAACAGATTAAGGGGCAAAAAGAGAAAAAAATAGAAGTCACAGGAAATGCTCCAAAAGGTGACAGCCCTTGCGGAGGAATTCAGCAGGGTGGGCCTGCAGGGGAGGAAACAGTTTTGTCACCAGCCCTGGAAGTGAGCTAGGCCAGGGTGAAGGGCTGGAGGCAGGAGCAGGCAGCAAGAGTGATGGATTCAGGAAGAGAATAAATAGGGTGGGAGAAGTCTGCAGACAGGATGGAGGCTGGGCTTTATGGAAGAAAAACTACAAGTGACAATGACACCAAAGCTAAACTTATGAGGTAGTGAGCAGGAAGAGGGTGGGTGGGGAGAGTGCTGTGGCTGAAACCTTGAAGGATTGATTGATATTACACGTGAACAGCTGAAAGAAGTGACGATGATGTGAATAGTACACGTCTCAGAGGAAAATGCTTATAGGACGTAGCCTCCAGAGAGCATAAGAACCACTGTCGTTCAGCAGGCAGCTGAGCCCTTCATGGGGTCCTTCCCTGCCACATGAGTCTACACAGGCTGCATGGGATCTAGAGCCGTTTTCAACACCACCTTTCAGTGACTCCAGTTTGCCAAGGTGCACCATTATTTTATGAGCCTAGAAGAAAGAAAGAAAAAAAAATGGTGACAAACTAACACAATGGCATGTTATTAATGGTAAGATGCATCCTGATCTCAGAGACATTAAAACATTGGGGGGGGAAAACCTGTGTATGTTAAACTCAGTGAATATGGAATGACAAAGAGGCAAGCATAGGTTGTACCCATATCCATGATAAAGCCACAGTGCTTACTTAAGTTTGATTTCGATTGACTTTTAGGCTATGACAGCATTGGGAAGCCAGTGTGCTATAGCTTGATAGTCATGTCATGATGGTCAGATGGGTAAGTGCGACCCGCAAGAAAAATGAGGAGACCGTGAGATACCACTTCACACCTATTAGAATAGCTATTATTAAAAAATAAAAACACAGGGCCGGCCGAGTGGCGCGATGGTTAAGAACTGGCTTGGGACGCCAGAGGGCCCCGGTTCGGATCCCACATATGAGGGCCAGTGACACTGCCCTCCACAGCTAAGATGCTGAACAACAGATCAACCTGGAGCTGGGCTGCTGTGAGTCGCTGGTGACGGCGTAGGCTGCAGTCCCTGTGGCAGTGGGTTGCCATGGGCTACCGTGTGTAGCCAGCAGCCAGTGTGAGCGGCCAGCAGCCAGCGTGAGCGGCCAGCAGCCGCAGTGAGCGGCCGTCCAGAAGCCGGCGACTGATGTGCCTCGCCTGGGAAGAGCGCAATGATGGTGCCAACTTGGGCCAGTGAAGCAACGTCCTCCACAACTAGACTGAAGAACAAAACGACAGCAACTTGTCTGCTCCCCTTCCCCTAATTCCCCAGCACTGTTCCCATCCCCCCAATTCCCCAATAAAAATCTTTAAAAAAATAATAATAATAAAAAAAAAATAAATAAAAACACAAAACAACAAATATTGACAAGGATGTGGAGATTTTGCTGGTGGGAATATAACCTGGTGCAGTTACTGTGAAGCAATTTTACTTCTGGGTATATATCAAAAAAATTGAAAGCAAGGACTTCAGCAGGTATTTGTACGCTCATGTTCAAAGCACCAATATTCACAATAGTCAAAAGATGGAAGCAACTCAAGTGTCCATCAACTTATGACTGGATAAAAAATATGTGTACCCATACAAATTAATATAATTCAACCTTAGAAAGGAAGAGAATTCTGACACCTGCAACAACATGAATGAACCTTAAAGACATTATGCTAAGTGACAGGAGCCAGACACAAAGGGACAAAAATATTATAGGATTCCAGTTACATGAGGCACCTAGAGTAATCAAATTCATAAACACAGGAAGCAGAATGGTGGTTGCCAGGGGCTGGGGGAAGGAGGCCTGAGGAATTAGTGTTTAAATGGGTACAGAGTTTCAGTTTGGGAAAATAAAAACATTCTGTGGATGGAGGGTGGTGGTAGTTGGCACAGCACTATGAATGTACTTAATGCCATTGAACTGTACACTTACCATGGTTAAAATGGTCCATTTTATGTTACATATCTTTTATCATAATAAAAAATGTAAAGTAAATTAATAGAAAAATTAAAACAGAGGGGGTGGGATGAATTGTCCTTTGAGAAAGGCCCTTTGGTGGATGAAGACTTCTGAAAGCTGGGTGCTTTTTTTTTTTTTTGGTGAGACACAGAGAATGAGGCTCAGCGTAGGGAGATGGGCTCATGCATCATGGAATTTATAATACAGGAAAGACAAAACTTCTGCACCTGGGTCCTCACCCTTTGACATATGAATGTCCCTGCTGCTTCTGGAGGGCCCCAGGCTCATGAGTCCACCTTGGTTCTGCCAGTAACTAGCTGATGGCTAGGGGCAAGCTACTTGATTCTCTGAGCTGCTTTAATCATAAGGTGAAGGTGCGAAACAAAAGGGCCACTGAGGTTACACTAGGAGATTGTAGGAAAAGATAGCACATCATTCTGTCCTATAAATGATTACCCTTGAGTCTGGAAGACTTACCTCTTAAGAAAATATCAAAGGCGGGCCGGCCGAGTGGCGCGATGGTTAAGAGCTGGCTTGGGACTCCAGAAGGCCCCAGTTCGGATCCCACATATGAGGGCCAGTGACACTGCCCTCCACAGCTAAGATGCTGAACAGCAGCTCAACCTGGAGCTGGGCTGCCATGAGTCGCCGGCGACGGCGTGGGCTGCAGTCCCTGTGGCAGTGGATTG